TTTTGTTACTTGTTATTGTAGAATGCGAGGGGGACATATATGTATAGATAGACAATGGTTCGGGCGATGAATTGAGAAATATACATAACTGGACAGATCTTTGTCAACAATGTTACTACAATTTTTTATATGCGCAGGTCAAGAAAAACAGTCACATGGCATAGAAAGTTCTTGAGTTTAAGGCCAATTTAGAACCGAACGTAAAACATAGTTGATTACGGACATAACTTTAAAGCATTGCTGATTGATTGATAGAAATTGCAAAGATGCAATTTCTAGAATGGCATAGTTGCACGTTTGAGAATATAAAGTGAAGAAGAAATAAAATTATCTAGCAAAAATTATATAATAGTAATTTCAGATACATGGCATTCTTATTGCATGATCTTGTCGAAAACACAGAACTTATATGAAGCTTTTTGTCCAAACTCGCCTTTCAAACTTTTCTCTCGTTTAGCGCAGTTTGTTTAAATTGAAAAGCAAAAGAGAACTCTTGCGTGTGAAATATTGCCGCAATTTCGCGGAAAGCGCGCGGTCGAAGGTGGCTTTAAGAATACGCACGAGATGGAAAGTGAGAGTAGCTTTTAATGAAAGAAATAATTTATGCTCTTACTTGGAAAATTTTTTGCTTTCGATATAGGTGTTTTGTATCTTAACTTATGAAATCTGTGCTTGAAGCATTTTTTTTTTGCATATTTGACTTGTAGAAAAATATAGTACATGATATAATGATGAATATCAGAAATAGAATATATAATAAATACTCTTGAGTATTTTGTTAAATTTTTGCATGATTACGTTGGGCATTTGTTAAATAAAATATGCATTAAATTTATATTGTTAAAGAAATAAAACGATTGAGTTTAAAATAAGAAGAAAATATGAAAAAGAATGGTTTATTGATCACATTTTTTATAATCTTCAGAAATATAATAAAACTTGTATAAATATCTCTTGGCGAGAGAGTGAATTTTTAGATTCGTTTATTAATGTATATTCGTAAATCCCCCGATTATTGCGAGCCTTCGATAATATTCACAACGCATATTTCAGTATTTATTTGATTGCCGGTTTTCGGACTCGATCGAAATAATGATACGAGATCTTGGGATTTAAAGTGTTATTTAATGTAATAATTTAAAGCATAGATTTGTAATATTTTTATAATTTTGTTTTTAATGTAAACGTTTTCACGATCGATAAACAGTTAATTTGTGATTTTTACTTTGCGATAAAATTCCCAGAGATTTGCATCGGAATAAATCATAAAAATAAAAACCGTCAAACTTGACACGATAATCGAATGGTACTTGGGAATTGATCGCATACAAATGTTTAAATATTGTATAATTGGCACGAGAAATCATCTAGATTGATCGATACTAAACGATGCTTGACGGATATTTTTATTGATACATAAAAAAACATCTTAACATAATGCAAAGTTTTGCATGTCCTATAATGTATAAAAACCGTGTAAAAATTTGAAAATTGATCGAATACAGTGCATGGTTACAATTTACTGCAGGAAAGGAACAAGACTGGAAGAAAATTAAAACGGGGAGATCAATGAAAAGAGAGTATCGCCAGTTTAAATGAATGGCAATAATTTATGCTTGGTCATGGTTGCGCGAAGAAAAAGAAAAAAAAACATCCTATCAATACTGACGAAGGTGCTGAAGTCGGCGACCTCGTATAATACGAAATCGCGAACAAGATCATAGATTCTACGAGCGGCAATTCGCTTTTATGGCTGTACTCTGGCAGAGCTCACCTAAATTTCCGTTATTACTCACCATTGGAATTATTTGAAAAATTGTTGATACAGATAATTGAAGGAGAATAAAAAAGTAGTTGAAAATAAATAGTCGAAAACATGCGAGTAATAGCAAAAAAACGAAATAATACAACTGCGCTTCAAATTAAAAATAATTTGTTATAAAAATGCAAGGATAACACTCTATAAAATTGTTTATATATAAAACAAACATTTATAATTTACATAAAAAAATTCTCAAAGATCTAACAATTCATACATAATAATTAACATACAAATAGCAATTTAGAGCCAGCGCTGGCTCTATTCATACATATTTGCATCCGTGTTCTTATTGCTTATTCCATCGTTTTTGATATTAAGGAAGAATTTTCACCTTTTATTTCATAAACTCACACAATAATACGACTTGTCTTCTAGAAACGTTGATAGAAGTATGCCATCTGGCCTTTCGATAAACATTGTAATTTATGCGTCTCACTCAGCATTCGGTTTTCTAGAATAAATAACACAGCATGTCGATGCACTTTGCATATGTCATGTCGAAGAAAAACATCGTTTGCATTTCCACTATATTCCACCTTCTGTTATGTATCTGATGTATAGCATGATGCGTCACTTCGTTCGCGGTAAATATGTTTGTTTTCGAGGCATATCACATTGCAAATGAGACTAGTTCGTGGCTACGTGATAATTCACGATTTCTTGCGTCGACATATGATTCACATCCTCTCCTAGGAGATGGAATTGCATGACTTTGACGTATTGACAAAGGTTTGTTGTTAATTACAAGTACATAGAATACTATCACTAGCGGAATATATGAATTGATCTTGTATCATATGTATGTGTGTGCGTGTGAAGCTGCCGTATTATATTTTGTGAAAATTCATAAATAATTAAGAGTTCTGGTTTTATTTTTAATAATTCCAATAATTCTTGATAGCTTAAACAAATAATTTTCTCTGGTCGTTAAATTAAAAAAATGCCTCAAGACAAATTGAGAAGTCAAAGTGTCTCACATTGTTCTGCGACATTTCCCTTGTTATTTTCCGTCAGATTTAAAAAGATTTATAGTTTTACGTCAGTTCTAGAAAGAGTTTTACTTTTTCAAAGCAAAAAATATTAATTAAAATAAAATAGTCATCATCAAACATACATATACGAATCCAGATGAAATGCTAGTCGCTTTTTGAAAATTCTGTTTATTCTAAAACAGTTTTCGTATATTTCTGAGCATATTCATGCATTTTCGGGATAGTTGTAATCATTAACAGTATTAAATAAGTTGATTGCTTAAGAAAACTTTTATGAGAAAGATCGCCATATGTTTCCAAATTTTACAAAAAATAATATAGGTATTTATATTTATATTAAAATAGATATTTATATCAAAAAAATATTTTTTGCCAATTTTGATAAGCGAATAGATTAGGATATGGTAAAGATAGATATAAACGATGATACAATTATGTTATGAATTTCATTTTCTTAACGTATTTTAATCTTTAAATTTACACATGATATTTTATCAACAATATTATTTTATCTTGGTATAAATTCTTCGAATTTCGCATAATGCATTTCCGAAGATTTGCGCACATGATTGTTCTGCGACATTTCCCTTGTTATTTTCCGTCAGATTTAAAAAGATTTATAGTTTTACGTCAGTTCTAGAAAGAGTTTTACTTTTTCAAAGCAAAAAATATTAATTAAAATAAAATAGTCATCATCAAACATACATATACGAATCCAGATGAAATGCTAGTCGCTTTTTGAAAATTCTGTTTATTCTAAAACAGTTTTCGTATATTTCTGAGCATATTCATGCATTTTCGGGATAGTTGTAATCATTAACAGTATTAAATAAGTTGATTGCTTAAGAAAACTTTTATGAGAAAGATCGCCATATGTTTCCAAATTTTACAAAAAATAATATAGGTATTTATATTTATATTAAAATAGATATTTATATCAAAAAAATATTTTTTGCCAATTTTGATAAGCGAATAGATTAGGATATGGTAAAGATAGATATAAACGATGATACAATTATGTTATGAATTTCATTTTCTTAACGTATTTTAATCTTTAAATTTACACATGATATTTTCTCAACAATATTATTTTCCCTTGGTATAAATTCTTCGAATTTCGCATAATGCATTTCCGAAGATTTGCGCACATGATTTTATAAAAATAATATATATAATATGTGCGTTTTTGTTACTTGAATTAATAATTAGGAACATTAGGAACGGATTTTACTTTTGAGTAACTTCCTTACATGTAATGGATAGAACGTCATAATTGATACTCGAGTTGGTTAATTTTAAAATTACCTAAATTCTCCGTAATTTTTTACGTGTTAATAATCTTAAGAATACGAAAACGCGTTTACGAAAATATCCAATAAAAAATTCAGTCATTTGAAAGCAGTAATTTTTCTATATAAAAAAAATACACAATTTTAATTATGTCATTGCGAAATAAGTTGTTGAGTTTTGCAAAAATAGTCCACAAGTAAATACGGATTTTACAATGAAAGGTTTAGCCAGTTTTAAAAGTAGATGAATTGATACACTGTCTTTTTATATAATATTATATCGAAAAAATGCACGTTTTGTGCATTTATACGGACACATGCATAATACACATCATATGTATAACGTGATACGCGATATACATATATATACACTCCTCTCTCTCTGTTTTCTTTTCTTAACTTTTACTTATGAAATATACACAGGTGAATGATGCAGATGTTAACATAAAATCTTATAAAAGGCAAATAGTTATATGATACATACATGGCAGTTTATATGTAGCATTTCAGTATAATATATTTTATATATAAGGCCAACAAGATACGAAATAAAATGTGCACTTTATTGTAATTAACATATCATATGATAATTAAAACATATATTATTTAACTTTCTCTTCTTTTGCGAGAAAGGGAAAAATTTCGCTTTATGAAAATACAAACTATCACAACTGATTTGTAACAAATTCGATCTATTCACATCATTCTACTTCCTCGCGAAATTTTTATTGCTGAAAGAATACTTGATTAAGACAACACTCTTTTCTTGTTTGTATTGTTGTGTTTCATTTAAGCTAATTGTGACATCACAATTTTCAACGGTAGAATTAATTACCAATTTTTGCAGTGTGATCGTCTATTAAATAAATTATTATCTTAAATAATTTTTATTATTATAAATCCTATAATTATAAATAATGATAAATATTATTTTTACTATTACATTTAAATGATATGATTATACTAGCACCTTTTTATTGAGTAGTAGTCAAATGTGATGTCACAATTACCTTAATAATTTCATGTTGTTCGCGAATCGTGTTTGATAGTGAATTAGTAAATTAACAATTTAAATGGAAGTTTTCCGAAAGTTATGCATAACATAATTTAAATAATAAATTTAAAATTTCACAAATTTTTAATAATTAAATTTTGCACCAAATATGAAGCACAAATATCTTGTGTCTTGTTGACATTAAATGAAGACGTAGGTAAATGTAATCGAATCTGGGTCCTATTTCATGAAAAGTGGCTTTTCCTATCATATTTTTATGATCTATTCTTTGCTAATAGATAGAAAGTAAATAGAAGGAGCAATTACAGAGATTAACAGAGTGTATGTGTGTGTGTGCGTAAAAGTAATTTTCTATTTTTATAGAAAGTTAAAAAGTTCATCAAATTCAACTTTGTAACAATTTTTTTATTATTTCGAAAGAAGAGAAACATTCTATATAATATCAGAAAAATGGAATCACTGTTCAACGGAATGCATAGATCCCTTACTAGAAATTTATAATTACATAATGATAAAATTCTTGTATCGCTTCATGAAATACAATCCTGTTAAGGAATCAAAGAAAACGATTAAAGTTTCGTCGTGCTGCTTACAAGCATTCAAAGGCACTTTTCTTTCGCGTATTCGCTTCTTATAAGATGAAAAAATTTTCCAGACACAAAATCGGATTCTGCTCCAAGAAGCTGTTTTTAAGCGCGAGCAACCGCGAACGATCGCGCCACGAGATCGATTGTTTATTTGACTCATTCGGTGGCGTGAACGCATACGATATAATTACATTTTCGATTCGAACGCATGCTATAAATTACGCATTAATATGTATAATGCATATAAGCAGGCGTAACGGAGTATATTGAGTATGGCATAGCATTGCGTCTTCAATCAGGACGCGGAGAGATCCGTCGCAACTGGATGCTTTTCGTCACGCCTTTCCCACATGTTGATTCTTTTTAGCGGATAACAAATCACAGCTGATACGAGCATCAAGCTGCCGGATAAATAGAACGAGGCGTCGTAACTTCCAGTCGCATCCATGAACGCACCTGTTTACATATGTGTGAATATCATTTAGATGAATTGACGTCGAGCTTTTGTGATTTATTGATAATAATCATAAGCCACAATTTTTTAATCGGCACATATAATGAATAATTTTAACGAACAGTGTAAATATTTCCTGGAATCGCTCGATATCGCTGTCAGATAAAAGTCGCGGGATGTAAATCAGCGCTATTTCCAGTAACGTGGACTTTTTGTATGGCAGTTTGCGAAGATATACTCCGATGAATGTAATCGTTGATCGGTATGATTCTAATTACCTGCGAGAGGTGCGCCCACAGTCGCTGCCACGCCTTGAAACAGAAGAAGTAGTCCAAAAGCGTTCGTCAGTTTTTCTAAACCGAGCAGATCCACAACGAGAATTGATCTCAGAGAGGCAAAGACAGCTAAAAAAAAAAAAAGAAATGATTTTTACAAACCAAATAAATATAAAATTAAAGTCAAATCGGGATATAAAAATTTTAAATCGAAACATTGTGAATCAGATAAGATGATATACAAAAGATATATCCATAAGATTTATAGGAAAAATTTAAGAGCCCATATATTGCTTACATATACTGAGGCCAAAGCTGGCTGCATAAAAGAATTGATATCCCTCCGTCAGAGAAATGCCGGACAATATTGTGACTAAACCGCCGACGCTGATAAACATATTATTCACGACTAGAGCATTGACTCCAGGCAAGCTGCTTGCTAAACCACAAACGATACGACCGATAGTGTTACCGATACCAATTACCGAAACGAGGAACATGGCCGTAGAAGCGTCGATGTTAGCCTTTATGGCTCGATCTGCAAGGATGGCGATTAAAAAAAAATATTTATTTATTTTTTAAATAAAAGAAGTAACGCGCACAAAAAAATATGTTACAGAAATATAATATGGAGATAAATGATATTCTTTCACTTTTAACTGTTTGAACTATAAATATCAAAAAACATTACTTATAACTAATAACGCGCGCGCGACGATTTTAAAATTTAATAATAAAATTTGAAACATTTATCTATATTTTCATTTTCGTTCAGTTTTTGTAATGTAAATATTATTTACTTATTATCTTACTTTTGTTTTCTATTTTTAGTAATTATTTTAATCGACTTTTATTAATTTATTATTTGCATCTTATATATATATATTATGTTAAGTTATATTATTAGAAAAAAATTCTCTCTAGATGATACGTATTACTTTACAAGTCCTTTTGAAAATTGACATGTTTTTAAACGTGATTAAAAAAGTTACAAAGGAACAAATATTATTGATCATTCGCGATATACATACGTACCTGGCACGTACATAAAAGGCGTATAAAAGCCCATCATGGTGAGGGCGCCAGAAATCGCTAGTATTAGAAAAGAAGGGCTTTTTAGAAGACTTAAATCGAGCATTGTGGTCAGAATTCGTCGCACGCTTTCTGGACACAGGTAGCAACTTCCACTCTCTTCTTCGGCCACATCCGTTGCCGTCGGCAATCGCGTCACTGACATGTGATAACCGACCGATGATTGCTGCAAAATTGCAAGCTTTTGATAATTCTAAGTAAAATGGTTATCTATATAAAATCGCGGATTCATTAACATGAATTTAAATTTAACGTAGTTTAACTTATTATTTTGCGTTTTTATAGAATTAGAAAGAAGCAAATTTTATATTTTGCGCCACAAAAAATAATTTTTTTAGATATATGATTAATATACATAAAAGTATTATATATTATATATATTTGTCACAGTACTTTGCGAGGATAATTGGTAGAATTTACCTGCGATCTGTAATGAGAAAGTCTGTTCAAAGAGCCACCATAAAAAATATCGTCTCTATAAAATGGTCTCTGCGGATCTTTTGGATTTCGTTTGCCCATTCTAAGAGATTTTTGACTGCATTCCGAATTCGCTCGAAGACGCCTTCCGCTAATCGTATGTCGGCGGATCTAAAAAAAAAATAAAATAGAATATTTGTAGTTTCAAAATATTTTCAAAATAGGAAATTTACTTATATACGTGTTGTACGATTAATATTATACATATATCTTAAATCTTTTTGTAAATTTTTTGTAACAAAAATAGAGATGTTGACAAAAGTAAGTAATTCACGAGTCGACTTGGATGATTTTCTAGGTCATCGAATTGACTTTTATATAACTTCAAAAGTGCTAAATTTTCGTTTCTTGGCAATAATACACATAGTTGCTTTTTCTTGTACGTCTATATATTTTAGACACCCTTCACTTTGAAAACAACAAAAGAGATAAATGAAACTCGCGAGAATCTGAACTAACGAATTCGAGTTATTCAAAGTCAAGTTCGATGTAAAATTTAAATATTTTTGCAACTTTGTTGTTTTAATCCGTCATTTAGGTTTACACTGTGGCAGACAATCTTTAATTATGTATTCTATCGAAATCGAAATCAATCGCGATTGCATCTCAAACGAATTAGATAAACTATATATTTATGTGCTATATTATTTTATACATCTTTATCATTAATTTTGATATTTTCAGACAACCGTTTGTTTCCGTTTACAGGTTAATTGCAAATTGTGTGAATTTATGGCGCTTGACTTTTTTTGTTCCTGTAACATATATATCGATCTTACCGTTGGTACTTTTCCGTTTAATCGTTCCAAGTCGCCGCTGAGCAGATTGTTCTCTTCGGCGATCTTTTCTTCGTTATTTACAACATCCAAGTCGGGATATATCGGGGCGGATAGCCGTTTCTCCGAAGTGCTCACCTTCCTCTCCAAAGTCTGCGTGTCCACGTGCACCTTGTGCAGCGAGTACAAGGACTTGGACGCGCTGAAACAGAAATCGATGAATCCCGTGACGCGATGCGTTAAAAAAAAAAGATTGTCATGTAAGTGAAATCTTTCGCGTTTATTACTTTACTATATTAGGGTTACTTCCGAAAAGTTCCGCTGCCGTCGGATATTCCGTGTTATTATTCGTGCCGAAGAAACCGCTTCTATTCGGTTGCACACAGTGTAACGAGGTCGTTGACACACCCTTTCCCATCAACGCGGTTTTTATCTCGAGCGCGGCGTTTTCCGGGGTGTTCTTCACCTTAATCCGCGTTGGTTTCAAAGGACGGAACATTGCGCCGAATATGGCGCAATTTAACAGCATGCCTTTAAGTCACATAAGTCGTTTCTTCTATTATCCATATGTTTAAACCAATATTGATACTAATATATATAATTTTATTTTATATTTTTTAATAATATTTTAATAAATATTAATATAAAAATATAAATATATATATAATGTTATATTTATCGATATAAACATTTATTAATTAACATATGTTTCTTAATCTATATTAATAATTTCTTAATAATAGATTATATATAGAGAGATTGTTGTAATGGATACTGTAATTGTCTTTGAATTTTTTAAACATTATATATAAAATTCACCTGCTTGAAATAACAGAGCTCCCCTCCAGCCGAAATTCTTTATGAGTATATCCGAAATCGGCGCAAGTAAAAATGCACCGATACCAGAGCCACATACTGCGATACCTGTAGCTAAGGCTCGCCATCTTTCGAAATAAAATCCGGTGGTTATTACGGCTGGTACGTATATCAGTCCCGCACCGATACCACCTAAGTTTTTGGCAGAAAGTTTTGTGTTAAATAAAGAATGTTTGTATATAAATCTCTACTAATATTTATGCTTTCGTTTTAAAATCTGATTGAATTTTTATGCATTATTTTAAAATATATGATGTAAAATTTTAAAATATCTCAAAATACCAATATCTTCATCGATAATATCGATATCGAAATATTAATACAAGATGCGGCCTGAATCTCGCAAAGAATCTTTCGCGGAAGATTGAATAAAAAAATAATTGAAAATATCGTGTATATGTAAGAAGACTTTGTAAGAAACTCTCGATGGAGACGCCAGATAACTGCGGTGATAAGAAATATCTGAGACAAAAAGATTTTACTTACCGATAGCGCCATAAGAAATGTAGAGAAATTCGATAGAGGTACTGAAATACGAAAGGACGAAGGCGATGCAACTTATTACGCTTCCTAATATCGCCACTAGTCTAAACCCGTATCGGTTGGCGAGGGCAGATACGAAGGGACCTGAAAAAGATAATACATAATTTAATTTACGTCGATGGTTCATTTCGCCGATGATTATAGATCTTTAGCCTTCAGGTATCCGGTCAAATGGAAATATATGCAAATCACTCGTTAAACTTTTATTATCGATCCAATCCTAATTGACTTTTTTAGGGATATGTTGTGTATATTGATTATTTGACAATATGCTAACTTACAATTAGCACAAATCGTTAATAACAGGCAACGCAGGAAATTTGTAGAAATAACATATATATCTTATATTTATAAGTAATTCTATTAATATACCGTGATAATGATATCACGTAATATGAAATGACAACGTGTCATATTTGAAATAATTTCAAGTTTCTTTTTCGAGTAATATTGATCTAGAGCTTAATTTTATATTAGTAATTATTAATTTTATATAGTAAATAATGGATATTTTGATGTAGCATAATAGTAAAAAAAAATTGCGCTTATGAAATATGTAAAATATCTATATATACTTAATTTGTCGGAAACACACAGTATTAAAGATAAATTGTAGAAAACAACTCTTTAAAAACTCCTACTACTCTTTATCATCACGGGTAATTAAGTGTATTTTTGCCGCGCACTTATGCATTGCTATGCTAATTCTGACACAGACGTGCTCTACATGAAAGGTTCGCAGTATTTTTCATAATGACGTATAAATTGTCATGTACTTTTTTCAGATCTTAAATTAGAGTCATTAGAGATATATATATATATACACACTAGAATGTAATTAAACTATTAAGCGTTTAATATTTATGAAATGTGATTATTAATTATTGATTTATCTTATCGCTAATCTGAGATTATAGCTTAAAAGTGTTAAACATTATTAAAAGCATTCATTGTACGTTAAATTAAGCGCTGAATGGAAAAGTTCCTGCGTATTTATTTTTCTGGATTGCACTGCAAAAATCCTTGAGACTGATCATACAAACGGTTACTTATTCCTATGCTAATTCTGGTGCAAATACAAGTGTCATGTGTTACTTTATTGATCGACCCGATATATATCAGGAAGACTCCAAATACGAGTTTATTATATCGCTAATATTTTACAAACAGGCTTATCAGTTGCGTACATTTAGCAGAAATACAGCTATTCTTATCGTGTATTTTCGGCGTCTTGTACAAAACATATTGTGTTAATATTGTGATTCGATATCAAAGGAAGCATAAACTCTAAAGATAATAGAATCTTGTATCTAAAATATATGTATAATTACATATTTTATATTTATCTGAAAAATAATCTTAAAATCTTAAGAAGAAACAAAAGCATGAGATTGAAGCACCAGAGCGAAAAAGTATTATTTTAAATTTTCTGATAAGTACAAAAATATCATTGCATGTTTTTATTATAAAACTAAATACTATTTGAATCCAGGGTTCTAAAATTAATATCTGGACTTGCTATTAAATTTTACATATATGTCGCTACTAACCAACCATGAGATAAAATCCAGTTTGTAATGAGCCGACGAGCGCGACTCTCGCTTTCGATATGGAAAATGCATCCGCGATCTCATTCAGGAATACGCCGAAGCTGAAGATGATACCGTCGACGAAAAAGTTGCACATGAAAGAGGCTGCGACGATCACCCAGCCCCATCCTCCGTCAGGTGGTACCACCATTTCCACTTCGATGGTCTGTTGATCCACAAAACTTTTACAGTGATTCATAAGTATCTAGCAAAAACTCATTAGATGTGTATTTATGCTAAATAGTCACAAAATAATCATTTTCATGTACAAACAAATTTTGCTGCGATTATGTCTTGCTTGAATTTTCAATCCAAACCAGATAGTGCTGTATTCAAGAGTTAGAGTTAGAGATTTTATATCGATAAAATACCAAGGATATACATATATCAGTAAGAAGATATCATACACACTTATGTATATATACAAGATGTCAAATATTATATTATATATATAAATTAAAATATTACAAAAAGTTACATTAAAAATTATTACATTAGATAGGTCAAATAAATAAAATGCGGATATAGCTATGCAAAAAAAAATTATTTTTTATTACAATATCAAGGAATAAACAACGTGATAAAAAATTAAACATTAACATATATGATATTACACATGAGAATATTGCGGATAATATTCTCATATGCAATATATGTAGGCAATCACATGATAAACAAATTAGAATTTGCCGTGATTCAGTTTTTCGAGAAAAAAATACAGTCACTTGCTTCGGATTTATACAGACAAACGTGATAATGGAAATTTAAGACCCGTGACTCCTAATTAGAATGGAAATGTGTGCAGCCGATGTTCGTGCGCGTTTGAAAGAAAACGAGGGTTTGTTTAAATAATTATTAGAGATACGATGTTTTTAGCTACGATGCTAAAAACAATAAAATTAGCGAAAATATTCTTAGATATGAATTATTTAAAAATAAGAAAAGAAATTTATAAAGAAAACATTACTCATAAACTATAGCTATTGTAATCTGAATATATTAGTTTTAATCTAAATTTAAATCTAAATTTAAAAAATGTACGTTACAATAGAATTTAAATATGATACAATATTTCTCTTATGCAACAAACAATTTCTTATAATTATTAGAAACAATTATATTTTTGCGATTTGTAGATGTTGCGTCGTATTCGTATTAGCCGAAAAAATTGCATGACTGTTTTGCACAAAACAAACCAAAAAATTAGAACTTTCATACCTCAATCATTAATAAAATATTTAAGGATCCTAATCATTACGTAAGAGAGTTGCTTTTTTTCTTGTTAGAAAATACGATACAATATGATATAATTTATCAAGGCGAACTCGGTTAATTTGCGATGTTTTCTGATATTTCAACATCAACGTTCGCTCGCTAGAAATTCACAAGGTGCTAAGGTCAAGGCCGCTCAGAAAGCCGTCGAGAGGCCGGCCTTTAGTATTTCGGCCGTTTCGTGACCCAAACTTCGAAAGTTATCAACTCACTGCCAAGCCGCACACGCTTAAAACATAAACTTAACCGTACAAGGTATATTCATCTTTGTTATAAAATAATGTTTCATCTAATGGAAAATTAAATTGAATTTAACAATTATAAGAGAAATCAATGTCTTTAAGTTCTTAAACAAGTTAAAAATTATACAGTCAAGTTGCATTTCGATCACCTATATTATCAGTTGTGACTGTAATTCATAAGAAAAGAAAGAAAAACACTTGTCTGTAATGTTCAACGATCTAAATCGATCGCGACCAAAGGACGCGAAGCGTTTCTTACAGCTCAGGAAATTGTCCTTTTTTTTTATTTTTGCGGAGGCTCTATCGATGAGTACGAAAGTACTTTCTCACGATCGAGAACACAGGCGTGTAATCTGGAGAGATTCGTTGTCCGAAAGGTACGCGTGCAAAATGTGTTATCAGTCATTCGCGGTATAAAAATCAGGGTGATTTTTTAATTATCGTTCGCGCGATGAAATTAAGAGCGAACCGAGAGGCAGCAACAGTTCGCGCTGTTAACTTTGAAGCGGATTGATAACGAAAAATTCAGCGGGGAGTACGTGTCCGCCTCTAGATGACCCACAACGAGACAAGGACTATCGGATCCATTAGTATGTCGCAAATACGGCGATATCGCGCTTGCAATTTATAGCATATGTATGTACAACGATCCGCCCGTCACTTTCAACGCGGGTATACTGATTGCCGGAGCTGCGGCGCGAGTAATCGAGTGATGCGTTTTTTTGCAGCTTTTACATTTTGACGCACCTACGGTGCGCGCGTTACGCGTCGTCGGCTTACCTCATCATTGTTATTGTCGTTAATGTCCTCGAGCTGCAGCTCCTCAATCTTGTTGCAGTTGCGACCATTTTGCTGCAATTTGCTCGCGTCGAAGATCTGCTCTTCCGTTTTGTTAGCTATCGTCGTCGACATTGTCGTGCCGTTTAAATATCTGAAACACATTCGCTGCTTGAAATTCGTGTAACAAAGAAAACAAAAAAAAAACAAAAAAAAAACGGATGTAATAAATGCAATTTTACATGACCTGAGAAGTGAGGTACTACAGAAAATTTAAAACTTATATATCTGTGTGAACATTGGAATTGTATTAAAGATCTTTCTTTTTCTTTTTTTTTTCTGTTTCTCTCTCAAAGACGCGAAAAAAAGATTTTATATGGGATCAAAGTATTCGAACGCTTTCGAATCAAACGTTTTTTTATAAAATATTAATTTTGGAAAAAGAATTTTTAAAATATTTGTGTAGTAATTGTATATAAATGTTAGGATTGTATATGATAAAAAGAATAATTTCACAATTTTCATTAAACAATATTTACAGCATATATCTATGCGATATTTGCGATTATCTCTCATATCGTAATACGATTAAACTTGAATGATTCTTATCATATAAATATCTAGTTCATTTAAGATTATTTTCTTAAAAAGAATACGTTGTGTTTCCGCGAACAGATATTATCGTTTTACTATTTGAGCATATAGTGTGTTCATAAAATACAATGTCGAGCAATGCATACTTAATAAGAATTACTTAATCGAAGAATTAATATCAAAGATTAATATAAGTTGTGAGAAAAAAATAATATTTCTAATTGATTCGTTTTAAGAAAAAATCTTTTATCGGTGACACGTGATATGTTATTATTAATTACGGAAATTAATAATGAGAAATATAATCTATATGCTGACATTGCAATAAGTTACCTTATCAGAAGAAAAATGCATAACCAAACAATTATAAAATTAAAATGATTTCGCTATCGCAACCAGTCGTTTTGGTATTAAACAGAGTCAAGCGGAGTTAGCTTTCATAAAAAAATTCTTGATTAATTTAGAATTGATTTTTTTATCAAGAATGCCAAACAAAATTATTGTATTATTAGTTAATTTTACATATTAAATACTTTTGAAATTAATTTAAAATAAATATAAAATCTAAAAAGTCTATTAAAATTAAATAAATTTTATTATATGTATATACTTCAAAGTGATTAATTTTTTGGAAAAGATTTTTAATATTTCAATCGTTTATAGTTTATATAAATCGTTGACCTCACGATTAATTAGGTATAGAGAGACGCTAAATTGACAGAAATTCAAAGAATTCATAATTAAAATACGACTCATTGTCAGTAACTAGGATAATTATGTACGACTTAGTAACTTAGTAGTAGGTAGGATATATGTTATGTGCTAGTGTGTGTGTGTTGTGTGATTAAACTGGAATAATAAAATAATGGTTCGTTGTAATTATTTACTAGACAGCGAAATAAGCATTATAATGATGTTTAACACGTCTGAAATATTGCCATGTTTTAAGTATCTTGTATCTTATAAATCGACGATAAGATAAGCCCGAGAAAATATTTATTTCTGATACACAACACACAAATAACTTCTGCACAATTTGGAGCGTCTATCTTATATTCAATACCAATTTTATAATGCTTCGCAATATATGTTATACATGTGAATATATGTATATTGCACACACATGTATGTGTATGTTGTCTATCTCTCGGATACAATATCAAAAAAAAATACGACCTCATTTTTCCCGCACGCGCGACATTTGCAAAAAGCTATATTATGTACAGCAGCTGCCATATAAACGGAAATGTGTAAACTTTGTTAATTGATAACGAATATGTTTATTTTTAGCGTGACTTCGTTTATTTTACACTCTCTTGTTAAGCGATAATTTGCGAAAGAAGAAAGTAAATTCTGAATCTTTATTCACCTTTTTTTTTCGATCAATTTCATTTAATTATATAATAGCTTTAAATAAAATATAATATTGATGCTAAACTCATCGGTTTGTAATATAATAAGTATAAACGTAACATTTTACCGGAAAATATATTATTTTATTATTATTCTTAATTATTTTTTGTTTGATATTTTGTCTAGTTTTATATTAATAATTTATTTATTTATTTTTACTTATATATTAGCATTACGCATTGTTATACTTAGCTATAATCGCGCATATTTAATAATTATTATCTCAAATATTACTTTGATTGATATTATATTGCACTATTATTTAACACACAATGTAAAAACTAGAACGCAAACGTAATTATTCATGATCCGAGCTATCTTAGATGTAATCAATAACGTAATGCCGATTTTTTAGTTTTAGATAAGATACAGATTATTATCGTATCATTTACATATTACACTAATGTATAATTGGCATTGCACAAAAAAATGAGTTCTCTATCATGATTGAGTTACAATCGAAGACTACTTATCGCGCATTTTATATTTACATTCTTTTTATTTTGTTTGTCATAAATTTGGCTTGAAAAAAATAAGACTATTAAAACGAAACATACATCGTGCGATACATACATATAAGGCAAAGTATTTACATATATGCACAAGATATCATTATGTTCCCGCTATTATGACGTAAAGATTCACGTCAATGGTAATAAAGAAAGTCGTAATGGAGAGACGGGAAAGAAAAATGTGATGAAACGAGGCAATCGCAAAGATTCAGACATGGTCTCATAATCGCTGTTCTAGAAATGGGGATGGTTTTTTACAAGAACGCTGATTACCTCTTTAAACGCGTCGAGATAAATCATTATCGATGCGGAACGCACAATGCAGTTCTGCTAACTCGTTGATAAATTATGCCTAAGTACTTGTCGAGTAAGCAGACACCATCTTATATATTTTTTACTAAAGATAAAATGCCAATAAAACTCCATAGTTTTATTACAATATATCATAACGCCACGTGAGCATTGCATCGATTGGCAATAAATTACCGGCACTTCAAAGGGAATTATCATTCGCGATGGAATAATGAAAAGATCAAACATTCATAATGATAATTGTGATTGCAACGTGACCAAGCTCGCCTAAACGCCGAATGACGCTTATTATATCCTCCTCTAAGGGGAATAAAGAGAATGCAATACTTACTCATACTCGGTGATACATTTTTATCGTTTAAACAACGCGGTATTGTAAGCGTGGCTGCTTGTAAAAAATACAAAGATATAGCGTATTTTATGCATTATCGCGACCACAAAGTGAAGCGGCAAGATTTTTATTGACAAGCGAAGTAATTACCGCGAAAGTTGGCACGCGTGAATTATGCGAAATTGTCAGTCGCAACAATAATGTATTTTATAGATTTTACATTATGGTCTTGTATTGCAATATGCTTTTTTGTGTCTCCTTTCTCATAGAATACGCGAACCACTTCCTTTTTTTTTTAATTATTTCTATATTCTTGTGATTTATTCCTTTAATGATATTATCATATAAGATTTTAATATGGAAATGTATAATATTTCTAATTTCATAAAACATACAGTTCACTTAATAAATAATCTCTCTTTAATTGCGTATTACAAAAACGTGAAGAATATTGATTATAACAGATTATTTGATTTGTCGCTATTCGAATTATTTTTGTCATATCGTTATTTCAAGCTCTTTAATTTGATATATAACTCTTTATTTTTAGAGTCTGGTGTTGTCACAGTATTTCCATATTTTGTATGTATATAAATTAGATTTCAAGTGTGATATACAGGAAATGATGATATTCCTGACAATGAGATGTATATCAATGATCAATTGTTACCTCTTAAAGCGTTATAAGCCTTAAAGAACATATATGCAAGCAATATTTTTATTAATATCTGAAAAGCGTTTGCGTGTTTATTTTATTTTTTTCTACGGGTTCTCGTAAATTGCGCTTTTGTTGAAAAGATTGATAGAATTGTTAGAACAAAATTAGAAACGTAGTAAATTGTTCCCTTGATCGCGATACATTTAAACTGCACAATATTCGCGAGAGTTATCGTAAAATATGTTTCTAATAGACTATATAAAATGCGCGCTGACCAGACTATTTCGCTAAGTATAATAAACGACATCACACTCAAATAGAAGGCGTCCACTCTACTCTTTATGATCTGGCTCTTTCCGAGATATTTACAATCTTATTCCGTACCTTCACTCGCCAAATTTTCCATTGCGAACCGATGACATGTAAAAATCCAATTTTCGTTCATTCAATCAGACGTTAATAAACATTGATACGCGTGAACCGATTTGCGCTGTCACTGCCTATTTGCAATAACATAATTATCGCAAGAGTGACGATCGTTCTTCGAAATTTCACAAACATTATTACAAAAATCTGATCATCGGAACATATGTTCTTTGCGGATAGTCTTTAAATTATTATTGTAAAATATATTAAATTCGATTATTATTAGAATCATTCGATATTATTATAATCACAATTTATTGTGGTTTAATTAAACGTATCAGCGTATAGAAAATTATTGAAAATCAAAAACAAAACGTCAATATCATTTTTTTCAAGATGAATCTTAAGACTGATTTATTTGTTCATTAAACTAGTTTGACAATATATTTTTCATACATACACGGAAAAAAAAATTTTCGCTACCATAGCTAATCATGGTTTGCAAAATAAATTTCTAAACTGCAGCAAAACGGTTTGCTGTTGCACCTAATAAATAGGTGTCACAGCTAAGATCTTCGCTGTCCATATATTACGACTGAAAGCTAGTTACCACACGCAGTTTTTAGCTACGGCAGCTAATTTTTTTTTTTTTTCCGTGTATATCATCACTAATAAGAAGGGGGGAGAAGTTGAACCATATATCGGGGCCAAAGTTCGAGGGGACTTATCTGACGATTTCGCGTGCTCTGCATTTATTTACTAACAATACTTGCAATTGACGATAACAACACACACTTTGAAAATTTATGCAAAGCACTCCAGAAATAACCCCGGACAGGCTATTAAACCGTATCCTTCTCGCGCTTTTGTTTTTACTCTTTATTCTCCAGTTAAGATGAGTCACCGAAAGTTTTTTCAAAGATACAAATTAAACAGAAAATCTGGTATGCTAATGTGTGATTAATGTTTGCATGCTCTTTGATGGATGGATAATTGAGATTTGATTTCAAAAAGAGAGAGAAATTTGTTAAATAATCTTTTTAATAATTAAACCCAGACAGCACAAAACGTCCTCAGGATCATCCTGAATATGTCCAGGATGGTTCAGGATATTTGTAGGATGTTTTAAGATATTACTATAAATATATTTTATGAAAATTTATAATTGATAGCCATATATATATTACTTTTAAAGTTATATTTTTAGCGCATTAATTTAATCAAGTCTTGGTATTTCATATTTGTTACGCACACGAAATAATATAGTCTCTGCAACATTTGGTGCAGGATTATCAGGTATGGGCGAAAGAAATATCATTTAAATAAAAGTCTTTCAAGTCGCACGACTTGTTGATTAATTTTTAAATTCCACGTAATGAAGTGGACGGATTCCATCATGCTCGATGATGTAAAAAAAAGAAAATATGCCGAGAAGGAACCAGATGATGGCCTGACTCTATCAAAAATATCATCATAATCATCTTGATTCTCTTGAAGCAACTTTTACCTTGCGTTCTGACATTCCGATTAAATTCCGTAGTTAAAAAAACATCTGCGCACGAAGATATATTCCAAATTTATAAAATATTTTTCTGGATACCTGCGTATTGCAAAAAAATTCGCGCCAAAAATTATTTTTTTATTTTATAGCCATCCATGATGTTTATATGCAACTAACAATAAATAGGTTTATGTAATTAATATAATAATTTTATATTGCAAGGTTTAATTAATAAATAAAAATGGTTTTCTAACGTAATAAACGCAAGTAAAAGCAACGGTACTCAATAAGATGCGATAAGAGATTGATAAAAATACCTATATATTTCTATTATATACATTAAAAAAAGCGATAATATTTAATAGAATTTTAAAAAGAGTTTTTTGACAATATAATAAGAAAAATAGAAAAAAACTGATTTATATTTGTTTCGAGATCAATTCTGCATCAGATCCACGAGATTCTCGAGCAATTACGTCGTCATGCTGCGTGTCGGTATAAGAATACTTCGAATCTAAAAATAACTATTAGAGAGCAGATCACAATTCCGCACAACAATGCAGACAAATCGTACGGATATATTGTACATATATCCATTGATTTATAATTACATCAATAAATTCTGGCGGTCATTTAGTTATTCCTGTCATGATTCTTGACACAATAACATCAATTGTATGCTCGAATATTGCATATTGTCGATTTTAATATTAAGTAAATATTAAACAGAAGTTTCGATTTTCCTTAAGCAGCTGCGCGCAAACACTCGCGTTTACCGATTAATCGAATATATCGCATGAATAACGATACTTGTGGATTTTCATTGATTTCTCGTGATCGTGGTTTACGACGGTTTATCGACAGGAAAATACTCGCACGTGTAATCGCGCGTTGCGTACGCATGCGTGGCCAAGTCTACGCGGGAAACACTCGCAGAGAAGAAATTCCACATGAGGTTACATATGGGATCGGATCCGTCACAATTTTTACACGCTTTTTCCATATTCGCGCGCACACACTTTCTATAAAATATCAACTGATTTTTACGCCTTTGTCTCTCTCTCTCTCTTTTTCTCTTAATAAAATAAAACGCGATTGACATAAAAAAACGGAGACACATTACCTATCTATCTTTTCGAATCACTGTCACCGACTGCCGAGAAGATCCGAAGTCGAAAGGAAAAAGAGAGCCGAAGAGACGAGACACACCACTCGGCCGCGCGCGCGCGTGTGCGTAGATGCGTGCAAACGCATGTACTAAAGTGTCACGCGCTCCGATTCCGAACGGCGCGACTTTACGTCGGTCGGTGATAACGACGGGATGTCAGATTGGTCATTTCGGAGTGGATGTGTTGCGAGTGTCGCGATGATTCCGTCGGTGCCATTGGCACAAGATATCCAAAAGATTTCCACTTTTCTCCTTCCTCTTGTTTTCTCGTTTCACGATATTTCTTCACGAAAACTCCTTTTGCCCGATAAACAATGCAAGCTTTGCTCGAAACTAATCAGAGATTATGAGATTACACAATCTTTGAAAAAATTTCTCGATTAGTCGAGTTGAAAAGTCACTCGAGAATTGATACAAGCGTGAAAATGTAAGTCAATCACGTTGTAATATTTCTTCATTTTTAATTACAATGAATTATTTAACTGATTGATATATGTGAATTAACGGCATGTAAACTAATTCGGCATTAATAAAAGATATTAGATTAATATCAAATTGTTAATAATATATTGTTTTTATTCGCGAGCAAACGTTATACGTTTAGATAAAAGAGACATGAATACTTTGAAACTGATGCTCTATTCCAAAATTGTAGTTGATAATTACAATTGGATCGCACATTATTTTTAAATGCCCACTGGAACGAAACACTGATTACTTAATTCGTATCTGTCCTGTCGCGACACATGTTTGGAATGACGTAACGATCGTAGAAAGTTTCGGTGCTGAAAATTCTGGGCCATCACTTTGTGAATAAATCGTTATTTACATATTTATTGCAAATTTAATGATTGTCCTAAATCTCTACAGTCATTTTATGCATCGGCACATTCTCGGGATGAGATCATACGAAAATTAAACGCGATCGTTAACAATCTTATGAGCATTTCATAAACAGATATAAAAATAAGATTGACGAAACATAAAGATGAATTCGATGTTGTAAGCGCGCAATATAATTTTTATTTGTTTAAGGATATTGTACAGGATATATTGTATGGAAATATCATAAGAATCTGACATACAGTGTGAGTGAAATAGGTCGCCAAAAAATCAAATGACTGCGTCTATTTATTACACGTATCACTGATATCGTTCGCTGATTACACGAATACATTATGTAAATTTTAATTAAATTCGATGGCGCGTTTGTATTTCACAGCGAGGCGGAACAACACTTGCTTGCTACTAACAATAAGTTTCCATTAAAAAAATATAACGTATATAAAAAATATAAAAAAAAAAAACGTGAGTAAAAGATGATTTTTTTTTAATAGAATAACACACCAGAATATATAATTCATTTGTTATATTTTAGATAAAACACATATATAATACAAACATCATAATATAAAATAAATAAAATTGAAACATTAATAATATTATGTAACGTAACAATGATGATTAATATCGTTGTTATCGCTTATCAGGCACACAAATTTTGATATAAAATAATATAAAAATTCAAACGCTATTCCAACAATCACTTTTTCTTTCATTTCGCGGTTTTATTAGAAAGATCTATGAGTAGTTCGTAGCTTCAATATCAAGTTTCAAATTTACATGTCTTATATTTCAGATTTACATTATGTGGTAGCACGCACAAGTATGTACGTAGGTATTCATAGCGTGCGAGCTTTTATTATAGATCGCAGACATGCCTCTCAAATTCAACCAAGTATGCGCTATGCATAACTAAATAAAACCTTATGTACCGAGACAACCTAAGCAATATACGTGTACATTATATTTTTTTCTGACTATGCAAAATTTAACCTTAACAGTGAGTGCCAAACGTGCATCGAGGTGTATGCGCTTTTAGAAATTGCATCGCGATCAAATTATCATATCGCACGATTGAGTCATTCATTTGTTTCTACAGAATCTACTGTGATGAACGAATACGACAAACATGATTAATAGTTTCCGATCGTTCTTATCTCCTCCTAAACTGCAAGACGATATATATAGAGACCGAACGAAAAGTGTTATGAGAAAACTTATGCAATAAATTAGTAATATATAAAATAAAATATAAAATTTCCGAACGTATATCTTTTTTCAGACGTATATAAAATTGAAGAAACTAATTTTCGTGTGAAAAATTTTCATACTATAGGATAAAATATCGAGAACAGAAAGAGATAAAGTTAAAATTATGGAGATTAAAAATCGTATCGAATAATTAAAGCTTCGAGAGTCGCGTACTGGACCGGATGCGCGCAGCCGGCGTCGTGTCGTACGTCAATTATACGACGGCGCAAGTGCCGTCGATCGACGATAAGGATTGCGGAGGCGACTGTCCGATAACCCGTTTCACAGAGCAGGAGATTGTACGTGCATATGTCGCCGAACGCGAGCACAACTCGTTTTTGATGTTTCCAAGCGTGTTGGTAACAGTGGCATGGCGCGACACACGTGACGTAACGACGCGATTACGGGCCTGAGTGAGTGAAAAGTTCGCCGGCGAGCCCGATTTTCCATCTCGACGCAATCGAGATCCACGATGGAGACCCGTCGTAGATCTGCGTCGCGTCGCCTCGCGTCACGACCATCGGCAAATAATTATTCAGTTGGAATCGCGAGGACAACCGGCGGAACATATGCGAGAAAGTTGTTATAGGGCGGTTCGCAAAACACGTGTTGCGCGTGATACGAGATCGTGCTACGCAAAAATACGCACTGTCGCCGATTTGGCGCGGCATGTGAACGTGACTTTCTATAATCCATTAATTAATCATGATTTTGATCAACGCTGGTGTTTGCAAAATAGCTTATATTTTTTCGCTCTTTTGAGAAAACAATATTTTTTATAATTTTATGAGCATTCTATGAAAGTAGAAGAATAAATGTGCGGAAAGGATGAGCATCTATTTTTTTTTAAATTAACCACAAATGACACTAAAAGTACATATATGTGTCCAGAAATTAAGAAATATATTATTTTAGGTCTATTAAAAATAATAATATACATAAACGAAAAATCGAATAACTAAAAAAAATGTTTCTTTTGTTTGTAAAATTAGCTTTATTAGTATGCGAAAATATCATCCTGTATAGATTTTTCTTTTTACTAAATAATTGGTATATTTTATATTATTCAAGAAATTATATCTTTATTTGATCTTATCTTGTATTTAATTTTTTAAAACTCCGATTTTTTAATGGAAAATATAGTGCCAGACGATCGCAAACTCACGCGATGATCTTCTCTTTACCACACAGGCAGACAAGGCAAACGCGTCTTTCTTCTTGAAAGCGCTTCCACGATTTTTCAGCAAAATCGTTTTGTTTGTCTTTCTCTCGGACAAGTCGATCCGCGACACGCCGGTGGTCCACATGCGCGAGTCATTCAATGCATTATCAGTCATGCATGTTAAAATAAACCATTGCGTGGACAAAATAAGTCTTTATCGCTCTTCTCTGCGTCAATACTTGCCGATACACTACTAAATTCGCCGTTTTTTCGCTTTTTCTTACCCGATACCATGTAACTTCGTCGATATATGCGCGTATAATTTCAAAAATATATCACACGTATATACCTCTTTGTTCGCACGTTTCTTCTCGTACGTCGAGAGCCGACGATAAAGAAAACGGACTGATAGGCGGACAACGCGCGATATAACTCGTAGTCGTTCAGAAATCTCCCTGGTTTGCTAGCCGACGATTCGCGACTTGCCCGCGAAAGCGTTTTTCTAGACCTCCCGCGCGCAATTTCCTCGGCAACACGTCGAACCCCCTCCTGCTTTTATCCGCTTGAACGAAAGTACAAGCTTACTTACTCGCGAGGCTTGGCCATGCAACGCTTGGGCCCCTTCTTATCCCTCTTTGGAAAACGTATGTACAAAAAAAAAAAGAGGGAAAAAACGAGAGGCTCGGCGATTCTTAGATTGTATCTCATTTCCGATCGAGCACACGTTTGTCGTATACTTTAATACGGCGGTTTTACACTTAAGATATTTCCTGATGGTGAGCAATCTTGTTTGCGATTTCGTTGTTATAATAAATATTTCATTCTGGTTTTCTCGAAATAGCGCGAGGAGGATTTAACTGGTTTCACGGTTATACGAGATTCCATTTATAGATAATTGGAACTGCATAATTAAAGTGTACATAGTCAAGTTTATGGCAAGGACCCGTCCTCCGCCTCTTTAAATAAAACACAGCTGAAGACTATGTAGAGAATAAAATATATCTATTATTACATGCTCCAATATACGACAAAGAAGATTATAATTATTAATATAGAATAATATATTTGTCGTATATTTATATATTATAAGAAATGCATCAAGCTGTTTTTTTTATATTAAAGAGCATATAATTTATAGCTGTATAATCTATACAATTTGATAAGACTGGCTATAACATTACGATAATTAATGAAGATTTATGATTATCTGTTAATTCACACGAACCGTATAATTTAAGAATGCTATTAGATACGAGTCTCATAAAAAAATTAACGAATTTCCGCTTCTAACATCATAATTTCCATAAGTATCATGCAGTGACAAGCCGAAAGGGCTCATTCGATAACTCATCAGGAACGAAATCCGCGTATTGCAGCAATATAAGGCAATATAAATTGACATAATAATAATTGACATAATAATTTATTACTGATAATTTACTTCCGATTTGCGCTATTTACATGCAACAAAGTAATTTCGATTTTTCGATATTTATATGCTAGATATACAGAATCACGATCCGAGAAAGTCGACGTGTCGACAATTTTTTCTCGGATAGCGCTGGATATGTGTGTGGGGTAAACATGCAAGAAATAAACGCAAAAGTTTTTCAATAATAAAAAGTCATAATTCCTCTTCTCAATTTTCGATAAACGTTACCTAATACATTTGTCCTTCTTTGTACCATATCATATATGTTTAACATACGCACGGAGTAGGGCGTACGCGTTCCTTTTTTTACGCTCGTACACGGAGAGAATAATGTGGCAGTAAGCGGCAATCTATATCGAATTATGAGAGCGTGGACCGGCGTGTCGTGAGCAGACGGATCTTGTGACAAATAATTCGCTCGATTGCATATATTAGCGATTTTGTGTACGCGCGTTAACACAACGTTCGTATTTTATTATGTATCTATATTAACATATTTAGTAGCCATTATGGTATTATGTTCGCGCTAAACCTTCTACCTACTGGCGATACTACGCTCTCACCTGATTCTAGAACATCACACTAGGATTTTATATTGTGGATCTTCATCTTTGAAAAATATATCCAAGAAAACCTGCTCTTATATAAAGAATACGTTGTAGTGTTTCTATCATAAAGTTTATAAATTTTTTGCATCTCTTAATCGATAAAGCTTTCAAGATATTTTTCGCCGAAAAAATGTTTTGTCTACTGAAAAAATTTTCTTTCTTCCTTTAGGTATTATTTTTTTAAATC